CATAACGGTCAGCAGCTCCCAGCTCAGCCGATTAGGGTGAACGCGGGTTTCATTCAAGCGTCGAGTAATCATATTAATCCGTTGTCTTAGGAATGGTTTGCTCGCGCTGAAGGCTACTTTTGTAGATGTGTATGGGCTGTCCAGTGGTCTGACAACGAGGCATTTAGGAATAATCCCGCAGTTAAGAGCTGATGATTTTCCCAATTCGCTTCAACACCAGCCAAACGCACGAAGTAACTAGCCAGCTTACGAACACGTGGTTGGTATGGTAATTCAATACCGCGGAATACTCTTGGAATCAACTGGGATATCATGATTTCAGAAGTTTTTGAATACAAATCGGTTTCTGTGGGTTTCGATCTTGACGCAAGAGCTTCTTCAGGCCAGTTGAATACGCACACATTTGACTTAGCGTTTTATGGGAAAGTAGGGCTGCCTTAAGCCGGCCAGTTAGAAAAGGTGTCGGCGGACAAACTCAGGTCGGAGCGTGAATCAACAGCAGTATGGACAAGAACACCTCACTTGTGAACGACCGGTGACGCGGAGCAATGAGGAACACTCGATGCTTTTTATTACACTAGAATGGCCATCTGACCTATTGACCTGTAACACTATTATCCAATGATTTGTGTTATTTCTTGCAATCTTCACCCTACTTTCCCATAAAAGCTAAGTCAATGGTGTACCGATTCACCTGGCCTAAAGAAGCACTTGCGTCAAGAGCGGAACGTTGGCACAATAAAAGCCTATAAAAACCGATTGGTATTCAAAAGCTTCTGAAATCATGAGATTCCAGCGTATTCGGAGATACTGTGGTTTCCGCTCATGTCTCCACCGACTGCAAGGACACATTCGACCATGAACCGAAAACGCAGCTACACGGTGTTACCGATTCAGATATAATGTTACTTGCAGGGGATATGAGTGCGCAAAACGGGTAGTCTGGACGCATCAGAAGCTCAGCTAAGTTGTAAGTATGGACTTAATTCCGACCGAACGGACAATGGGGAGAGCCTGTTACCGCTGTATGCGGAGCACTAGTTGTTTCTTAGCAGTACCGCATTTAGACATATTGGGCGCCGGAGTGTCACCTGGCGTCCACATATAGCTAGTCAGCCATGCCCCTGAATTGCTCATGTTGCCGTAAGTTACAGGTTGCGTGGTTCCATCCTAGATTGTCGGTCGTTCTTGTGACCTTGCATAGACTCTGATCAAACCAAGTTGTGTTGTCGTTTTTCAATGAACATTACCTGGAGGCGCACCAAGTGAGCCCCTCGAGTGCCGACTGAGAAGTGATCTCAGTCGTCGGTCAGGCAAGCCTACCAGAATACTCTCCGTATCGAACTTTCTCTCTATCAAGCAAATGACACTGAACCTCAGTAGAATATGATCTGGGCTGCCATTTACGATGCGGGAGCCTCTGCCTGTGGCACTATCAATACTCACCACATCAGTCACTGGATATCCGAGAGGTCGATGAACCTGTTTGAATCCAGAAGGAAACTATCGACTGGCTCTGAGCACAATTCAAATTGGCGGACTATTCGACGCAAACAAAGGCGGAGCTTGCGTGCTGACAAGGAAGCCTAGTGAACTAGGAGGGCTCAAGAAATGGAAGAGACAGGAGTAGTAGGCAACTATCGCAAGCTTCACCAAGTCGTACCGGGCGTCCGTGAGACAAGTAGAGACAGTGAGGATGATTCACAATAAGGAGCGCCATATGGCTCATTGGGCGGAGAACTTTCGAGATCAGTTCAGCTGGCTCCCTGCTTCCGGACTCCTTACTACTCAGGTGATGCCGATGAAACAATGGGCTGTGAGACACTCCATTAGAGGCTGAGGTGCGAAATGCGATCATAGCCTTTGATCACTTTCGAGCTACTGGCCCGGACACCCTCGCTATCTAAGGACGGTGGTAAAGGTATCTGCAAAGCACTGGCCTCCCTGTTCGAATAGGTCTAATAATAATAACAATAGTAATAATAATAATAATAATAATAATAATAATAATAACGTGTCAGCTGTACGCCGTAACGGCGCTTCGCTGCCACGCGAATAGGTCTGGAAGGATGAGACTATCCCAGTTAACCGGAGTGAATCGATTAGAGTGGCAATACATAAGGGCAGCCGCATCGACTGTGCTAACCACAAAGGCATTAGCCTAACGACGGTAATGACAAAATTACTACCCTCAATTCTTGTTCGTTGCGTCACTGCGGAACGGCAATCGAGGATGAGAGAAGAGCAGTCTGGTTTCAGTTCAGGACGAGGTTGTATAGATCATATATTTACTCCACAGTAGGTGCAAGAGCAGCGCCACACATACCGCAGACCGAGAACATCTGTGTTCTTCGATTTCAAGAGTAGGTTCGATTCAGTTGATTGATGCATTCTATTTTAGGCACTTGTTCGGAAAGGTGTTCCCATGAAATATAGGAACGTTGCACGTGCCCTGTAGTCGAACACCATAGGCCGCGTAAGGTTCTACAGTGACTTACCAGATATTTTTCCGACAATCAGCAAAGTTAGCCAGAGTTGCCCAACTTCCCTAATTTTGTTCAACTTTGTCGTGGACACCATGGCGGAGTGTTCCCCTGCGTAATCTTATGATGCAGGTGTTGAGATTCTACCTGGTAACCGCCAGCTGATCTTGATTATGCAGACGGTGTCGGGGTGGCCCAGTCAACCCTGAGAGTAGTCCCATCATCTGGAATGTAGTTCGCACCTTCAAAGTATTACAAGACCACCAGCCACTTGATTACACCTTGACGATTGATAGCGAGGGACTCGAGATAGTTGATGACTTTACCTGCCTTGGCAAGTAAATAAATAGACAACTTTTTTATTCTCGACAGTGCGAGGCACACCTGTATAGGCATAATCATAATAATACAAACAAGATAGATAGATAATTGCACAAAAACGTTGTAACATTACCAGTAATGTGCTGGATCAATGTGCGCATGTGTATGTGAATGTATTTAGGTATGAATTTAAATGTGTTACCTGAAGTTGTTAATTTAGCGCTGCGTTCGGTCAGCTCATCGGCATGAGATGTTCGACGGAACTGTATCAACAGTGAAGTAAGTTCACGCAGCACAAAAACGATAACTGCCTATTTGAATCCGCAACATAAGTGGCGTCAGAAAGAGGTTTCCTAGGTCTGACAGATGGTTTACAAGGCCACAGTGAGGTCCGTCCCTCTCTATGGGAGTGAGATTGGACCGCTGTGATCTGAGGCGCCTTCAAGTCTGATCGTCGCTGTCTGCGTAACATTGCTAGTGCCGTACGGCACCAGCGTTTTTACAACGATGATGTGCGTAGGCGAATGCTAGGCAGGTAGTTCCTTAGAACAATAGCTAGCATTGAATAAGTTGCGTTGGTTTGTGCACGTACTACGTATGCCCGATCACCACCTACCGAGGAGAGTTTTATCGCGTTTGCCAGATGTGGGTAGACACGAAGTGGACAAAGGTTGACTTGGCAGCGGGAATTGAAGTCAAAGACGACCAAACTTGGTGCCGTCGGTCCGTCTCGCCTTCCAGGCTAAAGTCCACGTGACTCGCCTTGTGCTTGGCTCGAGACTTTACAGGACATGGTTCGCAGTCGACACCAGTGGCGTGTCTGCTGCCGTCTCCTAGTCGGACTGCCTGTTTAAAGTGTTTAGTGATGAGTTGTGTTCAGAATAATGTCTGATTATGAGGCCAGGTAGTGAAAGCCACAAGGAAGCTGTCTTGCTGATATCGCCTTATCTTCGCACGATAACCAGCTCTTTTTGACGGTATATTGTCGGTGGGGTATAGGCGCCTTGACCCAGAATGTTTGCTTAGGGAATTAAGGTTTTCTAGCTAGGCCCTCCTCTCTCTCATTATTATTCGTTCCGCAAGACACCGTGGTTGCACAGCAGCAAAGCATCAGTTCAAATCACTGATGCATTGCTGTTGGTGGTGATGATATTTTAACAGGGAGGAGCATATGACGATCACGTTGTCTTAAAGTTCAGAGTCCACGTGACTCAACGGGTACTTGACACGAAATATTTAACACCACAACCTACCATTGTTTCCTAACCTGACCACCTGTTTAAGGCGTTGGTGGTGCTGATAAATATGTAAGATTGGCCCTGAAAGGAAAACCGCAAAAGTGGTTTAATGAAGCTGTCCCAATTTCACATAACAGCCGACCGTTTGTTGCTGTGTGGTGTTCGTAATATACACGCACCTCAACTGAATGCGCTTGCTCAATGCAGCCATTCATCAGACAAGGTTCAAAGTTATCCCGTTCAAGGTTATAAATAGCAAAACACCTACACCCCTGATGATACGTTGCTGTGATCAACCAGCAGACGCGTACAAGCCGAAAACCCCCAGTCGGAACCCTATGGTGAAGTTAGTGAGTGGTGATCTGGTGGGGTTTGGTTGAAATGATAACCCTATCGTCATAATTCATTTGAGACGGGAATCACTTCAGCTACTGTGCCGCAATACATAAGAAAGAAAAAACGCAACACAGGCACGCCAGCTGAGCCACCAGTAACGGTTGGACATAGTTCCGGAGCTAGCAGCCTGTTATTGCGCAGAAAAAACTTGTATTATGCGTGGGAAACAAAATTGTGGTTGGGATGAAGAAGGACGAAGAAACTCACAACGCAAGCGCCACTGTGGTCGGCTCCAGACCATAAGAACAAGTATATCCAGCCAAAGGTGCTCGTTTTTTGGTCCCAAAATTCAATCAACGTGAACACAGTGTATGAGGCGATTCGGAGTTCAGTTAACTCAGCTGTGCAACAACAGTGTTGCGACACTCAAAACGGGCACGGAAGGAAGTTGGGACCACAGGTCGTGTCAAGCTGCTACTTAACAAAAATAAAAAAACGTCTTTCTGTGTAACCTCGACGGTACTGAGCGAACGACTGGGGGAAAACATTTGGCCAGCCTACCTGTGTGCACCTTCTGGATCGGTTTGGAATCCTCCCACCAGTATCGAAAGAAGACGAAATCGAGCTGAAGCGCGAAAAACTATATCGATGGGATAAACATGCATAGGGATGACAGCCAGCTGAGAGTGACATCCAAAAGATCGAATTCATATGCCATCCTAAGATCAAGATCTGGATGAGTTAGTAGTTCGGCATGTGAGTTGGAAGTGGCGCGAAATCGAGTCTCGATTGGAAGAACAAATGTAGGTACAGAACTGGGAACAAATCGAAACTCACAGCAGTTTGTTCAAACCACCATGCACCAAAACAAGACAATGGGAAGAAAGCAGCAGGATTGTATGGGACAGATGGAGGAAAGCAACGCGGAATAATCGTCCGTGGGGAAAGATGCGGTGAAAGAATGACTTCGACAGACGACTGACTCATTATTCACTGAAAGTAATTGCCCCGAAGAGTTTGGATGAGGCATTCTTGTACACTTAAAAGTTTGGTGGTAAAACTCTTGAGGGAAATCCGCAAGTCGGAGCCATCCTCAATCAAGCAGGCGGTTAAGACACATCTGAAAAGTGGAACAGACATTGGTAGCATAGTTACACCAGTGGGTCGAACTCAAACGTGAGCAAATCAGATCACGAAGTAGTGTGAAGTGTGCACGAACGGACCAATAAAAACTGCATAGCTTCAGCAGAGAATAATGTCGCAGAAAGTAAGCCTTGCCAGTGAACCGGATGCGTGAATGAGATAAGACAGGTCGGTGAACAGAACTATAAGCAATGACATCGTGAGGACAGCGCCCATAAGCAGTTCGTAACTGGCATGGCGGCAGAGGCTTAGCCGTGCTTTATCGCAGTCAACCGTCAGTCATGCAGTTCTACCGCCGTCACTCATGGTTTAGCGGCACAAGCTGCTGGCATCCGGAAGTCAAGGGGTCGGAACCCGCATCACTGACGAGACCCAGAAAGTCGAAACAGCTGTCTGTTGCTTTTCCAGACGTGTGGGCCCCTGCCAGACTGAGAGGGGACGGCGACGAAACACATCTAGAATGGTGGCCACCAGTTCTGGCCGCCAAGTTTCGTATGTCAGACTTGATAAATGAAGAGAGTAGACGACTTCAAATGACAAAGTCTGAGAAACAATAAATTAGCAAGAAGTCACTAAACTCGGTGAAGTATGTGAGCAACACAAACCAGTAAGACCCCGTTGCACTCACTTCTCTGTCCTAGAATAGAACTGCGTTCCTGTTGTGAAACAGAAGTGTGTACAAATGCCTCTAGCCTCTAATGGTCGAGAACAATAAAGCGGCATTCATCAAATATACATGAGCGGAGTCTGGTCGAACATTTGCAGCACGAATCAAGGAGCCTGAAGGCGATCCGAAACTTACATGCACGCGCCTCCAAGATGTCCAGGATCCAGGTGCAATTGTAAGGTGGGAGAGCAAGAATAGCGTTACCAGAAGAGTTACGATCGAATTCAGGCTAGTTTCTCAATCGATTATATCATTCAGATGATTCCTGGATTGTGAGAACCGTGGTGAAGCCGCATTTGGAGTACAGGTTGTTGATGATGGCTCAGATTAAAGTTGAGAAAAGATGGCAGTAATTATGGACTTTTCCCTCGAACCATTTTCTAGAGGGTCGTACTCAGTCTCAACCCCCTCCGCTGTGTCCACCTCCAAACCATTTTCCACCGTTGACAATACGCGCACTTTTTCAATAATTTCTAACCTGGGTCCAGGCACACGGCTTGAAACCCCAGTGTTTATAACACAACGTAAAAAATCTTCCTCATATCTCACATCTATCTCAGTATTTTTGGTAAACATTCGCTCTCTTTACTCTAAGATCCACACACTACGCTCGTTTGTTTTGGTGAGTAATCCTGATATATTATTTATAACTGAATCTTGGTGTCATGATGGCATGTCTGACACTCAGTTAACTATTTTCGGATACAACAAGTTTATGAGGAATCGGCCTGATCGTCAAAGTGGTGGTTGCGTAATTTATCTGAAAAACTCGCTCACAGCATCAACATTCGATAACCCTGTGTTAAACAATGTTCAGGAATGACTCTGACTTACGATATCTGTTAGTCAGCAACAGCTGCTTTTGGGATGTATATACAGCGCGCCAAACGGCAGCCAAGAAGACCTATAACTTTTGACGCTTGCATTTGAATGCGCCGCTGGCCTACCATTTTTACATAAAATTATTGGAGGTGATTTCAATCTGCCTTCGAGTTCATGGCCCATAGGAACCGCTCCTTTGAAATACCACAACCTTATCTCCTGTATCCAAATGAATGGTTGGCAGCAACAAGTCTCCCGACCTACCAGAGGTGAAAGTACTCTGGATCTCATTTTTTCATTGGGCATACGTGCAATCAGTGTTAACTTTCTTGATGAATTCCCAGGGAGCGGTCATCGCGTAATCAAATGCTGTCTAAGACTACGCATGGCCGATGTACCGAAAACAAAGCATTATTGTCTGTTTAATTCTGTCAACTGGGACTCATTCAAGGACCTGGTTCGTTCGATGAATTGGGATAAATTCTTTCTCTCTTCATGCCCTCAACATGTGACGGACCTGTTTTATAGTATAATCGGCTTCTACATTGATTCAGCAATACCACTAAAATGTGCTTACCAAACCAAACCTAAATCCGATCGCAAGGCATTGAAGGCAGCGCGAAAGCTTCATAAGATTCGTCAGAAATTCAAGTTAACTGCTGACTTTGCGCTATTATTACAGCAGTCGAAGCTCGTGGAAGAACAGAGGCATCAACGAGACAAAACTCTCATTCTAGAAGAGTATAAAGCTCTGAATGGCCCTAGCAAAACAGCTGAGCTAGCCAAACTATTCCGTGCCCGGGGTTCGCGTTGCAGTGACAACCTCAGTTTTATCACCACGCCTGATGGAACATACTACGATGCACCAGATGATATCTACGAAGCTTTCAGTGCTTATTTTGCCGAATCAATGCTCAACGAATCATCAGATACATCAACATTTATCATGCCGCACAATAATGAAGGTCTATACACAGTGGAATTCACTATAGCGAAAATCACTGTTCAAGTCGCTCGATTATACACTTCAACGTGCGCAGGTCCTGATGGGATTCCCCCATGTTTAATAAAAAGCAGTGGTAGTGACTTCCTACTGCTTTTGCTCAACCTATTTACACTCCCTTTTAACAACGGAGTATACCCTACTCAATGGAAAACTTCTGTTGTTATCCCGCGACATAAAAATGGCGCTGCCCATGAGGTTAAAAATTTTCGTCCCATCAATCACACACCCATCGTATCTAGAATAATGGAAAGGATAGTGTAAGATGAACTATTTATACTCTTAAACAAAGCTAACATCATCAGCAATTCGAAACACGGTTTCATGCAAGGTCGATCCTGCGCAACATGCCAGACTGTTTTTAAACCACACAACGACTGCCATTGACAACGGAAACAGTGTCGTAATACTGTTCCTGGATATGCAAAACGCCTTTGATAGAGTGCCTCACAGAAGGTTACTAAACAAACTAAAGGTTATAGGCATTGGAGAACCGATGTTCTCTTGGCTGTCTTCATATCTAATTGGTAGACAGCAGGTTGTGCGCATAGGCGACCATTTCTCTAAAGCGAAAGCAACCACTAGTGGAGTGATTCAAGGGAGTGTTCTTGGTCCACTTCTTTTTCTAATTTATATTAACGATATATTCCACAGCATAAGAAATGGTGTTGCATTTATCTTTGCTGATGACATTAAAGTTGTCTACTCACAACCACGTGCAAATACTCAGGAAGCCGTACGTCTCATTCAGGATGACCTTTCTTCCCTTGACTCCTGGTGCCAACTGTGGCAGATGTCATTTGCCGTGGACAAATGTAATATTTTGTCGTACAAATGCCAAGTACCGCCAGACCGTTTATTACTACAAGGTGCCTATATCTCGCAATGCAGGATAATTCGCGACTTGGGCGTGCGATATTCAGTTACGTTTAACTTTTCTGAACACTGTGACTTCCAAGTTTCGAAAGCCATGAAGACCATCGGTTATATCTGCCATCAATTTTACCTCACGGAATCTCGCATATCGCTTTACAAAACATATGTATTGCCGTGTATGGAATGCTGTTCAATGGTACAGTCTAACCTACGGAAATCTGACCAGCACGCTCTTGAGAGGGTCTAGAGACGCTTCACGAAAAAGCTATGTGGATATTCCTCAAAGTTGACATACAGGGAGCGATGTGATAAACTTGGATTTGACCCAGTTTGGCTTCGGATAATGAAGCTGAACCTATGTTTTCTTTACAGAATCATAAATCGTCGAATTCGCAGTCTTGAAAACGGTGTTCACATAACTGTAAACAGCAGATATCCAATACGTAACAAAGAGGTAAAGGTCATGATTCCAAAATTTACTACGAGAATCAGAGAACGTTTCTTTCTAACCCAATACTCAAAGATTTGGAACAAACTTCCAAGTGATATCAGAACATGCTATACTCTTTGTAATTTTAAGCTTGCTATTATTAAGCATTTAACCGTCCAAAACGTGATTAAGATGTTCTGGACATCACAGTCCCTAGATAACGTATTCGAAAACGGTGTCCATGGTGTTTGAATAAATTTCCGAAACACATACACATAACATTTGGGGACAACAGCCCCTTTTATTACATATTTTCCCTCGGCCCAAATATCTGTCATGTGATTGTGAAGAATCCTGATTCAATGGCAGGAACAAATAGCAGAACGATTCTGATTACTCTGTGTTACCTAATTTGCAATTGCGCCCATGTTTATCTCTGAAAATGTATTGCTGAAATGTCATGGAAAAGTTGTACCATTATTTGATCTGTTCCTTCTAAGGAAAAGCTTCTCGCATCGTCGAGGAATATACAATTTATTTAATTAAATAATGTATTTAGTTATTGGTTTCTAACGTCGGATCCAGTCGCCAGCGATGTAAACTCCGGCAGATGTTTTGTATCTCAGTGGTTATAGAGAGGCCATATGAGTCGACAGCAATTTACACGACTGGTGATCGAACCAAATAGATGAAATAACCCAAACAGATAATTGTGAGTCGTGAAGGCCAGTGGGGTGCCTAAAGGCCTAATCACCTTTGGAGTCGCGGCTTATCGATTAGAGAACGCGCGACACTTGCCATGCGTCACAAGTGCAAGAAAGTCAGTAAGTAATACTTGGTGTTGACAACGGACAAACTAGCGCTCAGTCGGACGAGGGCAAACATGGGTCACTTATAAATCGATCAGGTCACGTTTTTTGTGTACTGCTGTAGGCCTTCTGCCTCGGTGTACTGTGCTGTGCTTGGATGGATAAGATCCACGAGTGGTGTTCTGGTGATACCACGAAAGGATGCGGAGTTTACCCAGTGAACATATAGCTCCCTTAAATAGAGATCACAATGGGGATTACAGTGGCATGACGGTTGTACCCAGCTGCTTGTTGCTAATCGATGGCGTGCTTGCTGTGTAGATACACTACGCTCGAGTACCATGCAAACGTTTGTAACTTTTACGTTTTACCTTTAAATGCTCATCACGGGTGATTAGATTATGGTCTATAGAGTGAAGGTAAAAAAACGACCAGGCTGACACACGGACACACACACACACAAGCGCCTGTAATTCGATAAAGCAAAGTGATGATAACGATCCGGAACTCACAGCTCATAGGAGTATTTTGGAATCGACTGTATAACTGATCGTGGTTGAACTTCAAGAATGCTTCATATTGTTCTGGGGGTGGTGGACAAATAAAAGCCAAGACGTAACTGCACGAGAACATTGAAGTTTACAGAGAATAATCAACAGAAATAGAGAAAGCAACAGACCACGAGCACGTGAAGACCGGGTCGCATGATTCAAACATATGTGTAGGGTGACTGATCGCTCGATTGGACAGTATAATTCCAATCAAGTCAAGGAGGTGCTTTTATGCGCCCATGGCGGGTGAATTTGCAGTCAACAAAAGCCGCTGATGCGTAAAAGTACCGAAAAAAAACAAGAAAGGTATTGACAGTACGGCGACATACTGTATTGGCGCTTCGCTGCTATGCGGTCACCAAGTCGGGCGTGGGCTAGGGATACCGCGACGTTGTGCCCGCGCGTACGCACTATTCGCGAGTCTCAACGGGCAAAACGGCTGTCCAGTGCTTTTCCGGCTGTGTGTGACTGTCTAGCTGGGAGTTAAAAGCGGCGAACCACCAAGAGATAATGCTGAATTGTTACCGCTACTTCGGGGAAGGCCATTAAGACACTATATGGTGGTCATATCTCAGAGGCCAAAGACACCAGATAAAGCAAATGTGAGAAAAACGCAATGAATGACGTGAGTAGTTACAGTAAGCACCGTAATCTACGTGCCGGCTATTAGGGGTAGCTATAAGCCGGTTTAGCGCAAAACTGCCGACTATGGTACGCTTAAGACGGGACGCTTAGACGTGGGGTATGAAAGAAAAAGCCGAAGTTCTCACATTCATTTCCTTAATGCTTCATCGGCGTATTGAAATTGTTGTCTATTCCTTTTGAACCGAACTTGCTAGTTCACTCATGTCTAATCACTCTACAGGTGTTGACTTTTAAAACAGGAACTCTAAGTAAATGGATCTACGGCACAACGGCACATGGAATATGGCTGATCCGCAAATGCCTCCTAGCATGCGATAGGATTGTATTCTAAGAGGGGATTGCGCAAAGCAATGGAAACCCGAGCGCCTATGGCATCATCGCTTGAACAGCGTTGATGGGATACGGGGGAGCAAAGAATGAATAATGCCGAAATCCGTCAAACGGAGCCTACCACACTACACGCTGTGGTATTTCGAGTTTTGTATCGAGTTCAGGTCAAACCCCCTGAGTGTCTATCGACCAGGACATTGGTGTACACTCTTGTAGATACATTCTGAGAAACCAACCGGTAGTGTGGTGGAACGGTGTGGAGAAATCTACAAAACATCTGGATTAGATCTGTGTACTGTCTTCCCGGGCGCGACATACAGAGGATTGGCCAAGTCCGTGATCAGAGGCCCGATTCTGTACGGCACAATCACGTGTCGCACGGTATGCTTGCATTCAATCGAGATACTACCTGTTAACATTCTGCCTAACTATTATACAACCTCACCGCGCTTTATTGTTTTTATGACTGAGTTCACCCGTTATACCAACCTAACAATGTTAGCATGAAGATGAAGTTTGATAAATAAACTCAAATGAGATGAATGGGGGCAAAAACTAAGCATGATAATTCGGGCCCAAAATACTGAGCGATTCTGGGGGAAATATGGGACAATTGTGACTAACGGAGAGCGCAGTCAAATATTCGATAGTATGTGAAACAAAACAAAACACAAGAATGAACAACGAGGTTGCACGAAACTTACCAGCTAGTTTGCAAGAAAGTATGTTATCATATTCCTGTCGGAGTTCCGCTTCACGTTCTTTGATCAAGCGATCGCACAAGGCAGTAACTTGGGGTAAAGTGAAGATTGGCACTGAATCAATATTTCGGGACGTGGAAAGTGAACGGGACGAGGAGACGGTAGGTGAAGAAAGCGCTTGAGTAGTTGAGCTGCTGTTTGCCTGAAAGCCCTGGAATGACGCCTCGTTGTGACGTAAAGGTGATTGGTCGCTGTCAGAGTCTTGGCTGTCCTGCGGTGGAGAGCGCAGTGCAAGAGATCGGAAGCATCCGCTGCAGGATGCAATGGCTGCAAATGAAAAAAAACAGTGTGGAAATATTATCCTCTCTTGATAGAAACGACTGACCATATGGTCAAAGAAAAAGAAATGGGAAAGGGGGCATAGTGCTGCAGACTATTAACCAAGAAGTTATGACGAGTGGATAGCCATCGAGGAGATGTTACAAGTACGATTTAGGCGACAATTTCCAATCAGTAGGAGTGTGCATATGGTCTATTCGGGAGAATTTCACTCTGAATACCGTCACACGGGGTGACTGTGGCCACTCGGGGTGACTATGGGCCAGCGCGTTAAAATGGTTGCAACATTTTTTCGTCTGGATTAACTTCTACACCTTATGCCTGCAAGTAATAACATTAGAATCATAGAAAACATTTGGTGTAGAAATACAGTTCAATAAAAAGGACTACCCCCACATGTAGGCATTTGCCGTGTGGAACTACCTGTTGGAAATCTGTAAGTATGGTACAATCAGTAGCAATAGATACTTTAAAAAACATGCAGAAAACATTGACTTCTAATTAAAGAACTATTTATATGTTGTGTTATTACTTTAACTAACCTTTTAGCTTAGTAGGAGGGTGGCCATAGTCACCCCAGTAATCAAAGAACTAACCAGTGTCAGTGTGTAAACCACTTTTACCAAGTTATGTTGTCTACAAATATGAATATCTTTATAGCATTTGGACTGAAGGGGGCCACACAAAGCCAGGTTCAGTCGATCCAAATCTGCTGGTTTACCATGTCTGCTTCGTCGACTGGTTCAGATCAATGGCTCTGCCCTACTGTAAGAGTCTGGAGGGAAGGAAAGTTTTATTAGGTGGTACTTTGTCATCACCGTTCAGCAATGAAATATTGGTTCAGTGTGACAGAAATAACATTTCATTTGTGTGTCTGCCTCCAAATGCAACACATCTGCAGTCATTGGATGTTGTTTATCTTGGACCAATGAAAGCTAAGTGGAGGTGCATTCTGACAGAGTACAAACTGGCAAAGAAAAAGAGTGTGGGAACGATATCAAAAGATGTGTTCCCAAGGCTAATGAAAAAGTTCATGGTTGAACTGTCAAACCAAAAAGAGAACCTCAAAGCAGGCTTTAAAAAGTGTGGCGTTTATCCCTTTGACAAAACACCTCTACTCAACCGTTTGCTACAAGAACCACTCAATGAGTGTGAAGCGTTTACAGAACATCTGAAACATCTTCGCAATGGTGACAATGACAAGCCAGCCAGGAAGATGTGAAGGAAGAAGCTTGATTTAATTCTTGGGAGGAGCATTGTTGTCCCTCAAGGTTAAGAATCTGTAGCAGAGGCAGTTGCAGGAAGGGCAGAGCCAGAAACTGCGGAGGTGGCAAATGTGTCAGATAGGTAGTTGAATTTCTGAACGAGTTCTAGCTGATCCTCTTCAAGGGTCAGCGCAGGATGCGGTTCAGGTCAATCTTGGAGGAAGGCTTTGCACTTCGAGGGTGCGAAGCAAAGCCCGAAGTAACTGACAGCCTGTGCTAATCTGTCCAGTGCCGCTTGACACGTTTGTGAGCTGTCACAGATTAGGGCAATATCGTCAGCATACTCCAAGTCAAGAAGTCGCTCTCTTGAGGGCAGATTCAGACCTTCTGTCGTGTCCAGTGAAAGCGATTTCCATGACTTCCTCAATAGCGAAATTGAAGAGGAAAGGTGACAGCGGGCATCCTTGTCTCACATAGCTGGAGATATTGAAGGGCGACGACAGCTGGCCGTAAGCCCTCACTCTGCTTGAGCTACGCGCGTATAATGCTCGGATAATATTTACATATTTTTCGGGTAAAGCTTTCCTGGATACACAGTTCCAAAGTGCATGTCTATCCACCGAATCGAATGCCCCTTTTGATATCGAGGAACAAGACAACGGTGGGCCGCCAATATGTGTGACGGTGCTTCAACAACTGATGCAAAATGAAGATGTGGTCAATGAAGCCACGACCTCGACGAAACCCGGCTTGCTCTTTACGAATATGGCTTTCACGAGTGCCAGTCACTCTGTGAAGGATGACGGAGGCAAGCAATCTGGATGCAATGGAGACCAGACTGATTCCTCTATGGTTGCCGCATTCCGATCTAGGGCGAATTCCGCGGGCTGATCAAGAGGGAGGTTGCCCAGGCACAGAAGGCACTATTGTAAGTGGAGGAGAAGCGCGATGTGTCCGTTCCCGTTCGATTCACTAATCCAGACCAATAAGGCGGAGGATGTGGTACATTTGTCTGAGTGTTGAGCAGTCTTGCATTTCAGGGGTTAAATGTTGATTGAGCTCCCAGTGTGGCTGCGCCTGATGTGAATGTTGACAAGATGCCTACCTATCTATTTCCCACCACCTCGTCCATACTTGCTAGAAGAGACAGTTGGTCGTTGCTGCAGGGAACGGGGTGCATCGTCTCGTGACTGTGCTAAGCTCGAAGAGTGGTTCCATCCTGTGTAGAACCGGCTACGGTCCAGCCGTTTTGTGTACTTCTGGTGCGTATGATTTCCCAAGTAAGCAGGAATACTTCTATTCTGCTTGGATTTGTTTGGGCGAGCTGTTGACGAAATGTGGCTCCCATCCACATGTCTCCCGGTCTTATACCTTCGGGTTTACACTGGAGCTGTGGGTGGTGCAGCGCAAGCCACCCATGGTCCGTCTGTAGGCGCAGGCGTCCTGTGGCTGTCCCCATTGAGGCCACAGTGACAAGCAAATCCAGATACGGATGCCGCCAATCCATAAGCGTCCGTCTGAAGAATAGAACTAGAGCAAGAAAGCACTGAACTCGAATCATTATTATGGCAAGAAAGATGTAAGTGAGGAACGGCGAAGTGCGCCTCCGATAGACTGGTGAGACACCATATAAGCGTTCGCTGGCTTCGGATTCAGGTGAGACATAGGTTGAATCCATTGGTAAAGGCGCAAACGATCAAACTTACCTGCGTTGTCCTCATGCACATGGCCGCTGAAGGTCGGCTGAGTCGTAGGAACAGGTGAACCAAGGAATCTAGGTATCAGTCGTCGCCGTTGTAAACGCTTGATCTCTTCTTTAATTCGTCGCTTTAGCTGAACTAGAAATCCGAAACAGAAAGTTGTTAGTTGACTGATAACCAAAGGGCTCATAAATAGTTTTGCAACAGTAGTGATTTTATAAGCAGGGTATCAACAAATAAAGTAGACAAATGCACCAAATATCAGTGGGGTGATGTAAGCTGCTTTCCGCTTTCGTTGCAGCAAAGGGTTTGGACCTTAGTGAACAATATTGTTGGCGACATATGCTTCCTGATTTACCTATCAAGGTGACTATGAATAATAAGGGGGTTAGAGGAGGAAAGCGTGTCGCCCCACTCACAGTTTCAGTGTAAATCCGGTAGTAATAACACCAAGACGCATGTAGATGGAAGCCACGATGGATGCGGAGAAGACCGGTGGTCGAAAGCATTACATGATTGCCTTGTAGTCCGGAGGTCGCCGGTTCCGATCCGCGTAGGTGTGAACAACCTCGCGGTACACGCAGTTCACGCGCGACTGTGGGTGGTCGCATAGCAGCGAAGTGCCAATACGTGTTTGCTTACTGCTGACACCTTTCCTAACGCTTGAGAAACATGCATAGTGTTCATGTGGGATTATGGGGATCATGCGTGCCATATACATAACAGTGAAAGGGCCGTAGCTCGTTTAATGTTGGATGAAATCGCTCTTCGATCCTGGCGATATTAAGACTGTGCAATCCACTTTCCTCGGTAACGATCACCAATCTCATGGAGCCAGTAGTCGTGAAGGCATTTGACTGGCAAGCACCTTGTCAAGATTCGTACCAAGTGCAATCAGACATAGACTATCAATCGGTAAATGCTGTCAAATGTCACAACATAAACTCACAGGCACAGATGCCCAGTACAGTGTGGTCAATAAACCGCCTAGGTTTTCAGAAATAGCTCCTGACTGAGGTAATACAACCAAACTTTGTTATGAATGGCCTAAGAAGTGAAGTGTGCAATACAAATACAAAAAGCCGGAAATACATACTGTAAGCAAGCCAAAATTGTACACGTTTTCGAGGCTCCACAAATACTGCATCAATCGTGGCGGACTATCGTTTTCATGCATGAAGCTGTCGTCAAGAATCAGAACTCCTTGATACCGGTGTATATGGATGTTGAAAACAACCAGTTCGACCTGGAGCACGTCGAAATCATAGAAAAAGCCACAGGACGGCAAAAAGTGAGTTCATTGACACCTGGTATTGAAAGTAGAACTCGATCAATAAGCACTTAGATGTCGAAGTCGTTTATGAAACTGTGAAATAGGCCTTTGGAGCCCCACCAACAATGTGGTTTAGTTTGGCAACAAAACTTCTGCAAACTAATTATTCAGTTAGGAAATCAGTGCAAAACCCCCATCCACATCAAGAGCTAAGGATATTCCCAATCATTTCAAACGCAACAGCCCTTGTTTCTTGGATTCAGTCCAAACGATAAAGAAAAAGCCCCATGATCCAAGAATGAACATAATGGTCACATTGCAGGATCTACATATGCCGTACACGGTTGTTAGCTACAACCTAGTGTCCCGCATAGCCAATGTTTAAAAAACAGGTGTTCTCACTACAAATGTTCATTCGTTAGAAAGAGCATAGGTAGTGCACAGGTTACGTAAGTTGAGTAATGCAGTGAGTTGCGTAGGTACTACATTACTCGCGCCATTTAACCTGTCAACACTGGCTACCAGGATGATGGTGCTGCTATTCGGCTGGAATAGGCATCGCACCCATGAAAGACTAGGAAGCTCGGAAATTCCAGCAAGTCTCGATGCGATTATGCTCACCCACGCCTCAATCATGGCGACGCAATTGTATCTTGACGTATTGCGATGGCTTGTGTACCTATGCGACCCACTGAGTCACGCTGGGTGGCGTTTTACAAGGGCCCTCAGAGCCAATCCTCCCAGGTAGATCAATGGTTGGGAGCTAAACTAACAGTTTTGCAATCCTTTTCAAAGATTAGGGGGAATTCGATGGCGATTTTCATTTAAAACCCAGCAATGGGCGACAAGAAGTTTACGGGTTATAAGCTCACATCACAATTGCCGTAGAGCATGAGTGCCACGCACGGGTTGACAGTGGGAGGCACGCCCCCGGCGCTCAATCGCTTGCGACCTTTCGCCACAAACCACGCAGCTCTCCCTTGGTCACATTGGTGCAAAACCGCCAACTTCCACCTGCGGCTGGCCGTGGCCGTAAGTGTGCAACACATACGCATCTACTAGATCTTTAAAAGCCGTGTCTGACATACCTCAAACAGATCTTAATCGATCTGCACAATCACTTGGTTCCACTGCCTTGTGTGTCGTGCTACTGAGTTAAAAGCACTGAGTGGGCTCCATCAAACGAACCTCCATTTACCTCACTGCCTTGTGGGCCAGATTGTTACGTCAAAGGCCAGAGGTAGGCACGTCGAACAAAACTGCTCTTTCAGAATAGGCAGCTGGGAATACCCTCCGCACTCACAACCCCGTTGTTCAGTTCAGTTGAACAAATATGATTTGAGTATCTAAGTGCGGTGGATCCAGTTGCCACGACTTGCCTAGCAAGAATATTAATAAATAACAACGGCATGATAGTGGGGTTGAGAGCATAGAGAATGCAGAAAGAGAAAGCAATAAAGTGCGTTAGACTAATCAAAATAGAACGAGAAACACTGGTGAGTAGGAGAATTCTTGACAGTATTTTATTGGTTCAGCCCAACTGTTCACAAGCCAGATTAGTCCAAGCCCAAACCAGAAAGATATCGGACGATCGTTTCACCATATTAGGGCTCGTCAGTGGTGCGCATTCCCTCGGTCCCTTGCTGGAATCGAACTCATGACCGCCAGCAGTTTGTCACGGAGCCATGGGAGGTGGAAGCAGACCGCCTGAATTAGCAAGCTAATTGGGATATAGTGACGCAGGTTCCTACCATTGCAGAGGACATTGGCTAGCCGAGGTTAAGACCTCCACCACACAGTACCTATGTCCGCGCAGCATTTGAAGACTACGAAAGCGAATGTTTAGACTACTGATGAGTGGAAGGACTCTTGATAGTATTCTCCCGGAAAGAGGTGCAAGTAACGGAATGCGGAAACGCCAATGACCACGCCATGTGTGAAAGGGTCTCCAACCAATGGTGTTGATAATCCCGAGGCTCACATGCAGGACGGCACGCAACAGCCTGACCAAGTCTCTCAGTCAATTTCCGCATGCCTCTGTGCCACGTCCTCGATCGGTCACCACGAATTTACGCTCAAATTGGCGCAGCCAGTGGCGAAGCAACTATTTTTGCTGCCCTGAATGGGATGAGAATAGGTACGTAAAGGTCACACAATAGGCTCAGGGTAAAGTGCATATAGTTTTCAATGAAATGGTTGATCGTTTTTCACGCTGAGGCAAATGTGGTGAAAGTGGCCACAGTGGGATAATTTAGGGGATTGCTAGGAAAAAGGATTGCACGTGTGTGACACGGCGCAAATGTGTTGTTGGTCATACAGGGTAACATTAAAACCTTCAACCCTTAGCTTATTCGGATAGTTTGCCCTTTATATTTGGTATCGAACAGTAGACGGCATTAAAAATGCCACCCCTTGTCACATGCCGCCGGCGGTGGGCCGTCCCCCGTCCCCTATGATTCGCCTCTGGGTGTAGCTATGGTGTATAATGCTGCGGACCTCAGCATCAACCAGAGCAGATTCAGCTAGGGGACACAGGGCAATACCAACACTAGCTTGGCTGGCACTCGAAGCTGCATCACTTCCGGATAGACGCAATGAGAAAACACTGCTAGTGTCACCTGAAGGGGATCGCAGAGAGAGCATAGAGCTCTAGTCCTGCAGACCAGTTTTGACAGGTAGCAGATAGCGATCCACAGGGTCTCTAATGTTCAGGAAAGTGCTGGCTGTTGACCGCTCGGTATCAATGTGCGTAGGTTGAAGCATACCAATCTGATAATGCTTACCTAATTTTCCGGCACTCTTCCACCGAGTAAAGTCCCAAAGGGCACATCAATCAACCGAATCGAAGGCATCTTTGATGTCAAGGAACACAACCATGGTGGGTCGCCAATAAATATTGCGGCGTTCTAACAATCGACGTAAAGTGAAATTGTGGTCAATGTAACTTCGATTTCGACGAGACTCAGCCTGCTCCTCACGAATCTGGCTTTCACTGATGCCAACAAGTTTATGAAGAGCGAAAACAAGTTGGAGGTAATTGAGATCAAACTGATTCCTCTATTGCTTTATTCCGAACGTGAGCATCCTTTCAAAATCGGAACTATAACGGAGCGGCTCCAGTCGGTTGGGACAGTCTCCAATTCCCATAGCTTCACTAGTGAGTTGTGAAGGCCATTTACAAGAGCAGGCCGCCTGAATGTGAAGAGGGCTGGAGGAAGTCTATCTGCTTTTGCAGCATTATTTAATTTCAGCAGTCTAGTTTTCCGTTCGTCTTCTGCGCGTGAAGGCGGACGGCCAAGAGTGGACGATTAATAGTCGATAAGAATTTGCGCAAGCAGAAGTTACTACATGGCGACCGATATGCTATTTCATTGAAAGTGTCATCAGGACGAGAAAACGAGAGCAGTACTTAGAGGCTTATGTGGCCAAGGAGTGAGATAAGTTTCCCGTGGCCAATCGACGGAGAAGGACGGCACGTTACATGCGGTCTGCCGCCGTCACCTATGGCTCGATGGTATATGTCGCTGGCTCACAAGTGTGAGGTCATGGCTTTGAATCCGATAGGGTCCGGCGGTTGCGTGCACCTGATGATTTCCAATAGGGCGAAACGGCCGTCTAATGCTTTCCTGGATTATGATAGATGTCTGGCTAAGTCCAGCTGCGATGAATTTTCTCAAAAACAAATATAAATCCTCCACTACTCACTAAGAACAATTGTGGTCTTTATCTGAAACCATTGGCAAAAAACACATTTACAAGACAGCAGGGGAAAGGTAGCGGTTCATAAGATAAGTATTTATCATATAAATGGGGGACAACGAAGTCGCATACTAAAATGAATGGCTAGGAGACTGAGATTGGCAAG